TTTTTAAAAGACGCAAGTCAGAACATTCAATGACGACAGTCCCTCCCATTGGTCCGTGATATCCACGCGCCAAACTAAGGTCGTGGGCTTTGAAAAATAATTCTGAAGCTACTCCCATTCTCATATTCTGATGCAAATTCCAAAAGGCAAATTGGGAACATCCCACCCACCAAAATCAAAAAGATACAACAAAAACAAATCCCCTAAATTCCAGCTCCGGCCGCTGCAACCGCCACCGCCACCGCCACCTCCGTCACCGTTCTCCGATGGGTACTTTTCAACCAGTAAGATGATAGTATATTGTTGGAGATTTTCAATTTATTTTCCCAGTTTAGGGTTCTTTTCTTTGATTGTTCCTCTTTTCTTGGTAGGTTTTTCTTGTTGATTTAGAACTCTAAAACTCATGGAGTTTTCAAATTTTTGCTGTGTGTGTGGTTTTTAGGCGGAGGAGAGGGAAATGGATAGAAGAAAGGAAGAGGAGAGAGAGGAAAATGGGAGTAAATTACCTGAAGATCTAGAAAAAGGGGGAAGAGTAGGTGTTCTACCAGAGCAAGCGATGGAAAGGGACATCAAAAACACCAATAATCAAGGCGATATGCACGCCGCAATGTTGCATAGATTAAACCCAACAAACCCTTTGAGAATCATCCTCAACGGTGGTGTTAGAGTAGCCACTCCTCCTCCTCAGCCCTCCTCCAGTGGCCCTTCCGGCCACCATCGCCACCAACACCATCAGTCCCCTGTTCCTCGCTCAATTTCAACTCCACAGGTAAAATCCATCTCACATTTGAATGTTTTGATCTTGATTAGTGTTGAATTTTTGCCCTTATTTTGTTGTTGCCAAACAGCAACCTGCAGTGATTAATCTGAACTCAAAAGCATACACAGATAAAGTATATCTGTTCCTGTTTGTCCTGCACTTGATTTTGGCTGTTGGGCTTGTGGGGTTCCTTGTTTTCAAAGGAATTCATGGCCTGTTATATGCATCAGAGTCTATAAAGAGAAAAGAGAGAATGGTTCTTCAGTATTTCCTCCCACAAGTTGAGGTTGCATCTCTGTTGAGTATTAGTCTTGCATTTGCTTGGCAAAAGGCTGTGAGGTTATGGCCTAAATTCATGGTTCATTTCATTCTATGGTGTTCTTTTGCTATGTCTTTATCAGCTGGAATCCTGCTAGTTTGCTTCCAAATGCCTGCCACAGAAGGTGTAGGAGTCTGTTTTCTTGTTTTTGCCATTGGTAATGGGTTATATGCCTGCTGGGTTTCACAGAGAATAGGCTTTTGTTCAAAGGTTTTCATCAAATCGCTCGAACCCGTCGAAAAATTCCCCGATTTGAATCAGCCGACGTATTGGATGCTCGGGGCTGGCTTTCTTTGGATGTCTATATGGATTTTGGCTGTCATTGGTGCACTGAACTTTTCTTTCCCTCCTTTGACTATAATCGTTTTAGTTCTTAGCTTGGCTTGGACTGCTGAAGTGATGAGAAATGTTGCTAATATAACCGTTAGTAGAGTGATATCTCTGTATTATCTTAGAGGAATGCAAAGCAATACTCAGTTTTGTCTCCAAAGAGCTTTAACAAGAAACTTAGGAAGTGCTTCTCTTGGTTCTCTCTTTGTGCCTACCATTGAAGCTCTCCGAATTCTCGCTCGAGGTCTAAATTTGCTCGAGGGGGAAGACGAGTTTATGTTTTCTTGTGCTCATTGCTGTCTTCATGTTATGAACTCGATCTTTCGACGAGGCAATAGTTGGGCTTTCGTGCAGGTATTGCTTGTGTTTTTTTTCATTTTCATCAGAATTGGATGTTTCAAAACAATGCGTCGATTTCGTACTCGAACTGATTTGTTTCAAAACTGTTCTTATCAGATAGCTTCATATGGAAGAGATTTCGTGCGAGCGTCGCAAGACACTTGGAAACTTTTCGAGATGAATGACATGGTACCGATCGTTGACTCGGATATAACGAGCTCAATATGCTTCCTCACCGGAGTTTGTAGTGGCTCTATTTGTGTCATTGTTATATCGAGCTGGACGTTTACGGTGCACCGTGGCTTCACCGCTACCATTTCCTTGCTAAGCTTCTTAGTTGGATATCTAATGGTTTGTGCTTCTTCCTTGCTTCTAATAGAGCTGTTTTCTTAGCTCATATGAACTGAATCACTTCCATTTTGAATTACCTCAGACAAGGATTGCAATGGCACTGCCCCATGCTTGTGTGAGTTGCTATTATGTATGTTATGCAGAAAATCCCGAGGGTCAACTCTTCGACGGTACGATCAAAGATCGTCAAACATTACTAAAGTTGAACCGAGAGGTCGTTACAACGACGCCCCGTATGCCCCATCAAAGTAAGACGTGATCAGTCTGATTGAAGCTAACTGATCTTCGACCCCGAAATGCATTCTCGAAACGCTACTCCCCATTCTAAGCTTCATAGTTTCAAATTGTAAATATGCATTAGGAATTGGGATATTCTCAAGCATAACAAAAAGTGGTCACCCCTTTGTATTGGGTCACTTTTCACTCTCATCTTGAACCTACCATTATTTTATTTAAGTGTATCCATTTGTAACAATCTTGTTGAATAGATATGATTTAGTAATGAAATAAAGAAACCATTCTCGAAAAACTAAATTAAATGTTTGTTTGGAATGACGTTTTGAATGTTTAATTAATAAAAGTACTTCAAAAGTTATTTCAAACCAAACCTAACGTTCTCTAATATATATATATATATGTTGGAATGAATGTTTTTATATGTAGTCGTCCAAAGTCTACCATTAACAGATATGGTTTGTTTTAGTCCGTTGTCATCCTCACAATTTTAAAACGTGTTTATTAGGAAGATGTTTTTATACCCTTACAAAGAATGTTTCGTTCCCTTCTCCAATCGATATGGGATCTCACAATCTACCTCTTTCAAGACTCAGCATCCTTGCTGACACTCGTTACCCTCTTCGGTCTATATAACATATATATATTTTTATATTTTAGATCTAAGTTTTAGCCAAAATTAAAAGTTGGTTTGGTTATTACTCAAACAAGAATAAAATGATTTGAAATGAATAGTTCTTTTCCACCACTTGCTTTAAAGGAAAGCAAACTTGAAAAGTGCAAATGTTTTGCACTTTTTTTTTTTTTTTTTTTTTTTT